TGAGTTCGAGCCCCACGTCAGGCTCTGGGCTGATGGCTCGGAGCCTGGAGCCTGTTTCCGATTCTGTGTCTCCCTCTCTCTCTGCCCCTCCCCCGTTCATGCTCTGTCTCTCTCTGTCCCAAAAATAAATAAAAAACGTTGAAAAAAAAAATTAAAAAAAAAAAAAAAAGAAATGTGCTTTTATTTCCAAATATTTATTGATTTCTCAAATTCCCTTCTGTTAGCGTTTTATAACCTAACTGCATTGTGGGTGAAGGACACTTGTATAGTTTTAGCCCTTTGAAGTGTAACCCGTGTTTTCTGGCCACGTGGGCCATGTTGGGCAGGTGTGTCGAGGGCCATGCTCCCCTGCTGGCTTTCCACGTGGCTGTTCTCGCTGACTTGCCTTCAAGTGTGCTGGTTCCTCTAGTGAATGTGTCCGTTGTCCTGCAGTTCAACATCCCATAATTCCTGCTTGGTTCTCTTTTATGATTTTTCTGTGTATGTTGACGTTTATTTGATGAGATGTTATATGTTTTATACATCGTCTGTGTACATTGTTTCCTTTAATTCAGCTCACACATTTATAATGCCCAATTTAAGGTCTTTGTCTAGCGGGGCGCCTAGGTGGCTCAGTCAGTTAAGCATTCGACTTTGGCTCAAGTCAGGATATCGCAGATTGTGAGTTTGAGCCCCATGTTGGAACCTGGAGCCTGCTTCAGATTCTGTGTCTCCCTCCCTCTCTGCCTCTCCTCCCCCCTCACATTCCGTCTCTCTATATCTCTCAGAAAAAGCATTTTAAAAAAGTCTTTGTCTAGTAAGTCTAACATCTGGGTCCTCTCAGGGACAGTTTCTTTTGACTGTTTTCCTCTGTGTATGGCCCATGCTTTCCTGCTTCTTTGCATGTTTTGTAATACTTTTGATTTTGTTGAAAACGACCTCAGATCCTCCTCCCTCTCGTGTTTGTTTTTGTGGCTAGAGTTTTGTTTTAGTCTGTTTCTTCCATGGCTTTCCCGAACTAATTCTAGAAAGTCTGTGTTCTTTATAACGTTTGGCCACTGCTGTCTCTGCTTGGTGAGCCTAGTGGTCAATTGGTTGGTCCGAGACTTCCTCCCCCCGACCCCCCACCCCTGGTCCGAGACCTCCTTAAACGCCTCGAGCCGGTGTGTCTGCCGTCCCTGCCGGGGGCTGTGTGTGTGCGTCTGTCCCGGAGCACTCTGTCGTCACCTTCACCCTCTGCTTGCGGCCAGAGGGCAGGGGTTGGGGTGGCCGCTCACATCTTTCCTGGGCTCATGCACCGTTCTGCACATGCGTGTCCTCTGCATCCCTGGGAGTTGGCCGGAGTTTTTCAAAGCTCCCTGTAGACCTCTTGGTCCCCGGATCTTCCCTTTACACCTGTGACCAGGCGCTTGCTGGCCCCAGCTGGCCCTGCGGCCTTGGCAGCTGTTTTCTTTTTTTTCTTTTTTTTCAACGTTTATCTATTTTCGGGACAGAGAGAGACAGAGCATGAACGGGGGAGGGGCAGAGAGAGAGGGAGACACAGAATCAGAAACAGGCTCCAGGCTCTGAGCCATCAGCCCAGAGCCTGACGCGGGGCTCGAACTCAAGGACTGCGAGATCGTGACCTGGCTGAAGTCGGACGCTTAACCGACTGCGCCACCCAGGCGCCCCATGGCAGCTGTTTTCAACAGACTCCCCGGGGAAAGGGTTTTTGTCACAAAGCGAGCTCTGAATCGGCTCACGTGACAGCCGTGCCCTGTGAATGGGG